AGATGAGAAATTTAATTAAATATTTTGCTGTTATATGAAATGGGCCATGATTGCTTTCCAGTAAAAAGAAATCTACCAGTACAAAAACACAGACTAAACCCAACAGCTCAGCTTCACTGCATAATTAACATCATTCAGTAAGAATTAATTCTGGGGCAAAGTAACACAAGAGGCAAGGAAGAGAACACAGAAAACCTCTTCTGCAAGAAAATGAGAGCAATGAAGCTCAGCTTTAGAAACAGACGATAACTTAGGTGACTGACAAATAAAATCATGTGAGTAGAGAGAGAGAGAGCCTCAAAAAAAGAAAAGGAAGACCAAACTCACACTCAGAGATTCATCAAAGACTCTCATAAGCTTCCCCGTCAGAAACCGGAAAATTCTAACTTTCCTGTCAGACCCTAGGGTGGCCATTTTCATGCCATCAGGTGAAAAACTTATACTGGATGGGTAAGCCTTGCATTTAGCAAATTCATATAGATCAGTATCCGTTTTATACTCCCAGTTCACATTCTTGGGAAATTTATATTCATGAGGAGTACCAGTCCAGTACTCGATCATTCCGGATTTGTCAGCAGACACTATGACTTTGCAGACAGGGTTCAATCGTATCTGAGTAAGAGAGGACCCATGCAGTTTATCAAAAATATGGAGTGGTTGGTTATTCCCACGTCCGTCATATATGAATATTTTTCCAGTGGTCTTCTCAGATACTGCAACGGAAGACACGGCATCTCCAGGGCAGTATACCCATTCACACTGCCCAGGGTGGTAGCTGTAACGAAGAGTGGAAAGAGAAAAAAAAATCAAAAATAAATAAGGACCAGTGTGACGTACATAAAAATTGATTATGCTGTAAACTTGACAGGACAAGAGGAAAAGGTATTAAGTTACACTAGGTGAGGTTTAGGTTAGACATTAGGAAAAACTTCTTCACCAAAAAAGGTGATCAAGGACTGGAACAGGCTTCCCAGGGAAGTGGCTAAATCACCATCCCTGGATGTATTTAAAAGCCATCTAGATAGTGTGCTCAGGAATATGGTGTAGAAGTGGCCTGGTAGAGTTAGATAATGGTTGGACTCAATGATCTTAGAGGCCCTTGGCAACCATAATGATTCTCTGATTATCTGGAAGAAAATACGTTTTTACAGAGACTTTCTGAAAAGCTTTTTTTTTTTTTTTTTTTTTTTGAGTTTTTACTTCAATTCTGTTTCATAAACAATCAACAAACAGTAGGCTAGAAGGAGTAAGTTTTCCAATTGTAAAAGGCTTATGGAAACTAGTATTTCTATCATTCTTGTACAGCATTCAATGATCCTCCAAACTTTCAAACCCACCCTCATAACAGTGAAGGGCTCGTTTTCCCCTGGTATTGTTCTAATTCCAATAACATCTGTTCATATTTCTCCTAGATGCATTAGCTACATACCGTATAACTACAAAAATCATACAACAATCTTGCAAGCAAGACTAAGGGAAACAACAATCTTCTAATGGAAGAAGGAAATTTCTATCCCTATGACAAAAAGAACGACAAGTAAGACAATATATACAAGTCAAATTCCTTCTCTACTAGAAATATTACTTGTCTGCAATTTTTAAATTCAGTGCCAAAGAACATTAAGAAAATTACACCTAGCTAAGTATTTTGAAAAACACCACATCTTTGTGGATAATTCTGACAGTCATAAATTATTCTATTCAGTCAGGCCTTCTTCAGCCACTGGATGTATTTCGAGCAGTGCAACTTACTCAGCTTCATCTGATCTGGGGTTAAAAAACACAACTTAAAAAAAATCAAAGTATTTACTTACCTCTTTGCAACATAACACCTATTTATAGTCCCAAACAAACGTTTTCAAGAACTAAGTAACTTACCCAAGTTTCAGCATGTTGATCATATCAAAGTTGACTACATCAAACACCTTCATTGCTTTGTCATCTCCCACTGAACAGAACAATGCCCCCTCAGAACTAACAGCAATACTCTCAATAACACCTGTCAAAAAAGTTAACATGCTATTAGGACACAAGAAAGGGATGTCCTTCATTTCAGTATTCCAGAGAAAATTATGCAGGGGTTTAAATCAGTTTCTCATCTGTTTCTCCACCTTTTTGACTTAAAAAAATACCTGACTAACAAAAAAAAAAAAAAACACCAAAACAACCCACACTAAGCAACACTTTGTGTCCAACTACTGTTTAGAAACAGGTTTGTGATAATTAACTCCTTACCATATAAATAAATGAAAGTAATGAACAGGAAGAACTGGAGATCTGGGCATGGCTCACGTGACTGCAGTACTGCCATGGCCAGCCATGTACTTTTTTAGGAAAGAGAGTCCAGCAAGGCAAGGTGGTGGCACTGCACTTTATGCAAGACAGCAGCTGGAATGTATCAAGCTCTGCCTAGGGGAGGGATGAAGAGCATGTTGAAAGCTTATGGGTCATATCAGGTTTGTACCTCTGTCTTTATTACTAACTGCTTTTTATATTATCAAGCTGAAGTGCTGGGGTTAAACCCCGAGCCCTGGAATGAGGGTTGGCATATGGATGATGTCC